TATATATATATATATATATATATATATATATATATATATATATATGTATGTATATATATATATATATATACATACATATATGTATATACACATACATCTATATATGTGCTTGTGTGCCTCCGTAAACTACTAGCGCAGTATTTGTTTCGCCTTTACAGCCCGTAATATTTTTGGTGTTTCTCTGTCCACCCATCTTTCTCCCCTCTCCCTGTTTTTGCTCGACCAATAAGAGAGAAGTGCAAACTTCAAGGCGACGGAAAAAGTAAATCACAAAGAACCACGTTGATCTTTTTGTACACCTGAACTCCGCAAGCTTCTGCACCTCTAGTGCGCTCATTGCCATTATTTTGGTCCTTATGTTGCGCGGCTTCTGATGTGCTTCAGATATTAGTTGTATTAGTTGTCTTCACATAATAATGCAACTGGTCTGACATTAATTCAATTATTTGCTTCTACCTCCAGCACAACTCAGCGCTATGTGCTACGTGAGAGTCCAACTACCTGCATACAGTTCGCTTGCCAAGCCGAGCGGTACGTTTCGGAGTTTACCAAAGGCCACGAGGAAACGCAACTGGGATCATCGCTGCAAGTTGGAGAAAAAACTGCAACCGTCGTGTGGGGTGGGACGGATTCGGAGTGAAAATCCTAAACTCTGACTTTCCCCAATGTCTTTGTTACCTTTCACTGCGTCGGGTCTGTTGCTTGGAACAGTTACAGTTTGGCTGTCCATGCAGCAGTGGAAGCTTCACAGCCTGTAGCTAACAAGCGTGGCGTGGCTGACAAAGAGTGGTCTGCAGACTAGCTGACAAGGAAGTGGGGTGGCTATCTAGGCAGCTAACGGAAGTTTGCCTCTCTAGGCAGAGACGAGCGTCAGCATAGCAACCAAACCGGCAATTAGAATGGTAGGGACGGCAGCTGCTTCAGCGCCATCTCCAACGGGAGTCTGCAAGTCGTCTGCTGTCATATCTTTCAATTCAGTTGTTCGTGCAAGAAGTCCGTTGAAATACTCCTCACTGCAGGAAAGAAAAGAAAGCAAACAAACGCACAGCTTCAAAAAGCACATCACCAGCTTTGTTGGTTATTTGTGGCTAAACCGCTTCGTCAGCCCGTCCTGGATTTTGCGCTCTGAAACCCAGAACTTACCTAAAGGGGGCCTCATCCTTCGTCGTTCCAGGGCTTAATTTACAGAAAAGTACAGCCTCATTTGTTACAGTTTCATTTGTCCCTACTGGATCGCTCCTGCCTGTTCCAAGTGATTGCCCGTTAGTTCCAGCTGTTACTGTGGTGCACCTGCCAATAAGGCAGCCGATTCTAGTGCTATCAGATCCGAGAAGATATGCCAAATTGGCACCCGCATCCTTAGACCAGATTTTTTGCCACTCGGTTTTTGTCTGAGGGTATGTTTTATTTCTGGGAGAAATGTTAACACAGCACAGCGAATGCAATAGCAATATGTTGGCTCAAGAAGAGGCAATGAGGCTGATTAACTGTCGGGTATGTATCATCATCGCGCTTCGCTATACGGATAAGAGCCATGGGACTTGTCTGTAATGAGGCTGACTACGGCATCTCCTTACTCGAAGGCTGCCAATCCCGCCTCAACGGCCTCCTGCAGCAAGTGACGGTAGTTAGGGGTGGTATCAGCATCAGCCTGGTAGACGAAATTGTGATGAAATGTCTCTTTCTGTATACCGAAATTATACAGAGAACAACGAGACTGTCACCTGGTATTCAGCCTGTCTCAGATAAGCAACTGAATTGTTCCCAAGTTTCTGTCGGGTTTCACTGGGCAGCTTTGAGCTGACGTTGCCACAGCATTAGTGACGGTAGCAGCGGCTCAAATTTCCTGCTTTTGCCATCGTGGTACTCACAAGGTCGGGTGTTATCAATCCCTTACAAGCGCCTGCATTGTCTCCAGTTGTGCCTTCTAGAGTTGACCTCAAGGAATTGACAAGGGTGTCATCCTCTGCGACTACACTGATGCGAACCAGGAGTTTTCCATTACGGGCCAAATTGGCACTCAAGTAGGCATCTGCACCGAACAGAGATCCACGACAAGATAATCAACAGCGGGTTTAGGCTTGGTCTTATTCGCAACTATGCAGTTGACGGCTTGAGAGCGTGCAATATGCGGGGAAATATAAAGAAAATGATAACGTATAAGGGGTTGCATAATCACCTGCTTGCACATCTTCTACCGTAAATTTGTATGTTGGAGTGCTCGCCTCTGTGTGAAGCCCGCAGAGTGCGACGAGGCAAACGGCTGCAGTCGTTTTGTAAAGGGGAGCCATTGCGGTAGAAAGCGTGAGAGTGTATTTAAGATTCCGATCAAACAAAAAAGAAACAGATGTATTCAAGTTAATGAATACGGGAGAGAAGGCAAAGAAGTAGGAGTTCTTTGGCTGGTCCTCGAGTATCGTGAACAGCGTATGGAACACAGCCGAACACCGGTCTCGAAGATGCAAACAAAACTTGAAACTCAATATAATTAGTATTTAATGAAGTTAAAGAAATAGGGATTTATGTGTAAAAGACCTGCATGCTATGTAGTTATCTCCGTCGGTGAAGGCTCCTGCGCTACCCGGTAGGAGACCGCTGGTGTAGTGCATTGGCACTACAATACACCATTGTAGATATCTAGTGGACAATATGAGACTAAAATTTGTAATAATTAACTTAATTTAATTAATAAAATTTAAGTTTAGTACGCCAAATTGCAGGTTCACGGTAGTTAGCCGAGGATAGCCCACACCTCGTTAGAGGCAGAGGCATAGTCACCGCGGAAACGCGGGTCGGCCGTACCCTCGCGGTTCTAGCGACCGGCCTGGCAGATCGCCAAGCTGGGGCGCACGGATCGGACTGAAATCCAGGACGGAGAACCATTTTGCTCTAATATTTGTCCGTGAAATTACTCAAATTACTAATAGAAAAGGCTAGTTCTGCAGATCCTGTCTGTGATTGCTACGTACTGCCGCACTCCAGCGTATTCTGCGTGAGAGAGCTAGATGCTCCCAGGCATTACATTTAGGGGCTGTTCCGGGATAGGAAAGGCAACTTTCTTCCAAAAATATAACCAAACCCCTTTGCTTAGTAGGAAAAATTCCTAAAT